TTCAGCGGAAGTAAAATGAGGGGCAGTGGCGTCATTTCACTTGTGGAATTAATATCAGATTGGCCCCTTGGTCCTGCAGTGAGATTTCATAATGTTTTCTGGGCTCTTTGAGATTATTTGTCTTCTGCGGTCCTAAAGTGAAATTTTCCCTAAAAAATAAGTATGATTAGCTAGATTTATCAATTATTCTTGGCTTAAGAGATCAATCTAAGATATCCCACTTTGACACTATGGATTTATTGTTGTCCAAAAGACATAAAATTCTTCAACGACCAAGGACGAAACCCTAATCATACATATGACGGGGAAAAAAAGACATGAACATCTCTGGTGTCATACAACAAACAAGTCACTTTCTTCTCATTTGCTCTTCAATGTCTTTAAAAGCATCCAAATAGAGGAAGAAGAAAGCAAATTTTAAACCAAAACTAACCCTAGCCCAAACTTATAGTCGATCTAGAGAGACTTTTGTGTTTGAAAATTAACATTTTGTGGCCGGCAAAAAGGATGAGTGAAATAGAGTATCGTCTTTGAGAGGAGCCAAGCACTCATCGGAAATCTCGAACTGAGAAGGGTTAAGAACGAAGCAGGATTGTCAAGGACAGTCACGTTGGTGATGTTCACGGCACTCATTGCTCCAAATCAGACAGAGAAGAGCATGCCAGAAAGGATTAATAAGTTTCAAAAAACCCTATCAAAACCTAGACTGCTTCGATGAGCAAAGATCATCACAAAGGAAATCCAGGAACTGGAGACGAGAGCTGAGAGAAGGAAATGGAGAGAATCGAAGATTGAGCTTCTTCTTTGAGATTGGGGAAACAGAGAACTTGAATGGTGAGTTTCAGAGAAATGAAGCATTGGGTCTTTACCGGATGGTGACCGGAGATTGACGGTCACAGCATCTGGCGGGAAGTTTAAATAGTTTAGATGTTATATACTACTTCCAGTCCTAATTATAAAAGCCAATTGACTAATTTGAAAAGATTAAAGAAGTAAGTTGAGTTAGTTATTTGTCCTAAATAGGTGTTGTCTTTCCTAAAATCTCCTTGTTAATCAAGTGTATTGACTAGAACTATCATTATTAGAAGGGCTACTTTGGAAAAAAAAATGTATAAATATGAGAAACAAAGTGGATTAGGGTCTTATATTTAGGACCAAAATAAAAGTCAAACAGGGTCTTATATTAAGGACCGGAAGTAGTATTTCTTACAATTGAAATTTTTTAATTCATAATATAACATTCTTCTTTTTACTTTGTTTCATGTTTTATTTTAAAATTTTAATATAAATATTATTTTGGAGCTCAGCTATTTTGTTATTTTAAATTGGTTCTACTAATTTAAATATAAAGTATTTTAAAATAGTCCCTTAAAATTAGCTCATCAAAATTATCTTAGAGAGAAACTAAAATTTGAAGAAAAAAAAAATCTTAGAAAAAATGACATTTAAAAACCTTAGAAGTTATGAAATTCCGATTTAGGTTCTTGAAATCACATTATACCTAGAAGAAACCCAAACTTAAATAGGAATTATGAAATATTATTGGGAAAAAGATCAAATTAACCTCCTACCACTTAAAAGCAAATAAGCAATAAAGATGGCAGAGAGAATGAATTTGGCCCAAGCTGAAAACGAAGGGAGATAAAGAGCGAGAGAGAAGTGTTTGATTTGGATTAATGTTGCAAACAAATTCTTTTACTCTTCCGATCCTTAATATAAGACCTATCTAACTAATTTGATTAGATTGAGGAAGTTAGATAAGTTAATTAATTATAAGAAATATAATATGCTTTTTCTAAAATATCATAATCATCTCTCTTTTACTTGATTATGATTGAGGGAGTATTCATAAAAGTAATTTAGAAAAAATTAATAAATAATATAAGATCAAAATCAACTCAATCATGAGGTTCTATATTAAGAACCAGAGGAGTATTTTTTTTTTCCCCCTGGTGAAATGTTGAAGGTGAATGCTCAGTAGTCCTAGTTAGGTAATTAGAAGAGTATCGCAGGCATTCATGTCTCTTTACAGCACCATAGCTCTACAGAGAGATAGGTATTGGAGCTGCTACTAGTAAGATTGGTGTAGATGTGGCCTCAATGGGTGTCATGAGAATTGAGCTGGTTACAAAGTTCACTGTTCCGCTTGTTATGGTTGGAGTTCTTGGGTGTTTATAGCCAAATAACAGGAACAGTGGAGATTTGTAACCAGCTCAATTCTCATGACACCCATTGAGGCCACGCCTACACCACTCTTTGCTGTATCAGCAGCATCTCCAAACCTATTTCTCTTTGTACGACTATGGTGCCACGGACATATTAGAAGTGGATGCTGTGATACTCTTCTAAAATTCACCTTCAACATTTCACTAGAACGAAAGAAGAAAAAAAGAATTTGCTTGCAGCGTTAATCCAAGTCAAATACTTCTCTCTCGCTCTTCACCTTCCTTCTCTTTCAGCTCGCGCCAAATTCATTCTCTGCCATCTTTATTGCTTGTAAGTAATACAAGGTCAATTTGGTCTTTTTCTCCAACATTTCATAATTCCTATTTAGTTTAGTTCTCTTCCAGGTATTATGTGATTTCACGAACTCAAATCAGAATTTGATAATTTCCAGGGTCTTTGAATGTTATTTTCCGTTAAACTTATGTAATAGTATGAAGCTAAAACAATATTACATATATTATTTATAACTTTTAGATAATATAATTTTCAATAGCCAAAAAAAAATGATGTAACTTTTATATTTTACATTCAATAGGGACCTTTGTTTCAATGGGTGTGAGAGCAACTATCCCCACAATTAGCAATTTTATTTTCTTAACTACTATGTGCAACAATCGCTTCAGTATTATTAATGTCAACCAAGTTGTTATTTGATAACTCCATAAATTGTACGTATAATTTTATTTTCTTAAAATTTTTTATTGTAACGTCCTAAATTTTCCTTTCTAACCTTAGTTAATCTCAGGAATTATTTTTTAAGATTTTTAGGGTGAGATTAAGACCTAAGAATGATCACAAGCATGGTTTGAGGGTTCAAAATGCGAGGAAAAGAAAATTATAGTACTCCTTGAATCCTAAATGTAAAATCTATTTTATAGTGTAAATTGTACTACAAAATGATATTATAGTTAGGATCGAAGAGAGTAATAAAAATTTAGAAAAAAAAATCATGTGCTATGCCATAAAACAGTGTTAGGGCTTGATAGAATTAAGTTTGGACAAAACAACCTACTTCTTCTCAAGTTAAAAAAGTTGGGGCTAGTCATGCGCAACATGACAAACAAAGTTTGAATTCATACTAGGATAAATGTTCACATTAAGTGCCTGGAAAATATTACAACCACATCAGATTTAATGTTAAATATTATAATTTTCCCTATATTAAATATTAATAATAATTGACTATTTTATGGGAAAATTAGTTACCATTTTACAAAATAAAGTTACATTAAACTCAGATTAAGTTGGGAATCCACCATGGGTCTTCCCTTCCTTATGCGGGATGGGTTTAAAATTATCCATATAAAAAAAAAAAAAAAGGGAATTTGCCATTATTGATGATTGAAGTTGTGTTTGGGATCACATTTGAAGACCCAAACATGCATTCAGCTTTTGCTTTAAATAAATTTCCATTAGATTTGGATTAATTTGGAAATTTATTAATGATGATTAAGGCTATGTTTGGGATCATATTTGGCGGCTCAAACATGCATCCCACACAATAGTAGTTGAATTTAGCAACAGAGACTAGTATCTTACAATGTAGCAAATTAAAATTCAAACCTCTACAAAAAGAAACATCCACATTTAGTGTTCAACAGTATAATAAGTATGACTGTAGTAACTTCTTGTTTTTTAATGATGTTCGCATTGATGTGCTTAGCCAAAAAAAAGTGCCTTTTTGCATTTTAATGATGTTTAGATTGACATTTCTTCTGTTTGACTTTTAGTGGGTTCTATCTAACTTTTAAAATGAAGTGAAAAATTCACTGCTTCTACAACGCAGTGCATCAAGATGGGATGCAAAAGTGATGGATCCCATAAATATGCTCATTGTTGTCCTGGTCAACCCACATACGTCCTTCCCCACTTCTGTCTTGCTTATTCTTGTGGAAGGCATTAGTTCTTTAGGTTGGTAATAAAACTGAGAGATGTAATACTCAGGTTTTAGTCGATAAAAAAAATTAATATTAACTTTTGCTACATAATATTATTTGATTGAAAAATTTAACATTATAATTTATAATTTATACACACAAATATTTATCAATTAATCTATTAAATATCTCTAATTCAATATTTTTAGTATTTGCAAATATTTTTCAATAATGTATTAACTTTTTAAATAATTTTAATATTTCTCTGAAAATTGATGTACATATAAATATATAATATAGGGTTAAAATGCATCCAACATTTCAAACTATTTTTTCATGGTACATCCAATACAATGAAGTATTTTTTTCAAATGCATCTAATACCGTAAAATATTTTTTTATGAATCTAACACTCTAAAGTATTTTGTTTTTATGAATGCATCCAACACTAAGGTAAAAAAAATTTGAAAGTACAGAACTCACTTGAAAAATACTTCAAAGTATTTTTTTTTTTTTTTATGGATGCATCCTGTTACTAAGGTAAAAAAAAAATTGAAAGTACAGAACTCACTTGAAAAATACTTTAAAGTGTTGAACGCATCAAAAAATATTTTAAAATGCTAGATACATCATAACCCTATATATATATATATATATATATATCATTTGATAAAATTCATGTTTTTTTCAACCATTTTACATCTAAATTTGTTTTCCATTATCCTCCAAACATGTTTCAACTTGTTAAATTAATTATTTTACAAAAACTAATCTAGACATAAAACACATTACATGGTAACTTGAGTTTGGAACAGTTAGTTTGAAAAAAATTCAGTTCTGACACCACTAATTCAAACACCTTGAAATATATATATATATTTTTTTCATAGGATTGTGTTTTGGCATCAAATAATTGAACAGACATATCCCTTCAATTGAAGATAAACGGAGGCGCACACTGTTTTTTAGATATAATCATTTTATTTCATTGATTTTAAAAAGTAGCTGAAGTGCTGAGCCAACGTTATCTAATCAACGTCAGCACTGCAAACAAACTTTCCTATGAACTACCAGCTTTCTACTGAGGCTTCTCAGAAAAAATACAAGGGAAACCATCGTGATTCCTAAGAAAAGCAGTGGCGTCCTCCATTATGCAGCAAAATTTAAAACAGAATTCTGTACCTCAACTTTCCCGGGTGATGATTATAACCAAAGTCTTAAATGAGAAGTTTGGAGCAAAAGCCTTCAAATGAACCTGAACTTTTCTGAGAACTGAGAAATTTCATCCACTAACTAGCCTAGAAAAATTACACAGCATGAGCAACAGGTTCGGATGCATCTGCTTCTTCCCTGGAAATTGAGGGAGGTGAGTGAAATTAGAGGATAAAACTCAGCAAAAGTAAGCTAATGAAGTCACTTGATATTTTAAAACCCAGAGGCCTTGATCCAGAAAATCACTTGCTCCAGTCCTTTTTAAGATCCAAATTTTTGAATTGGTCCAGTCTTTTTTATAAGATCCAATTTGGGGTTGTCTGAACATTAGATATATTTTTACCAATTTTATCCTTAATTAATTGCATTATCTTTTCCCCATACATTCTCTTCCCCCCCCCCCCAACTATTTCCCTCTCTCATTTACCCTCTTCTTTTACCAATTTAGGACTGGAAGAGTACAATTTTTATGTTTGTTACATTTAACTAATGTTAACACATTTATTAAACCATGCAATTTGGTTAATTAGATGTTATAAAAAAGAGAGGAGATAGGGCATTCAAGGGAGGTAGGAAAGAAAAATCTTCGACAAAACGATTTTGTCATTCAGGAATGAGGGGGAAGAAAAACATGGTATGAAAAATATCACACTTGGACAAAACAATTTTGTCATTCAGGAATGAGGAGGAAGAAAAACATGGTATGAAAAATATCACACTAATTAAGAATTTAATTCAGATGCAAAGGCACAAGTGTCTGCATCTTGCTATCCAAGAGGAAAAATGAATGTCGTGTGGCGACGGTATTTGTTTAAACAGACCTTGAGTCAATACCAACATGGACAGAATGATTGGGTCATTCTACATTGCTTTAAACTTTAGATATGGTTTCAAGCAAGTATTCCATATTATACATATCTGGTAAAAGTTGATATAGTATTGTATTCTTGATATACTTTGTGCTTGGCCAAGGCCGTATGAGTTATGTATTGAGTTGATCACCTCATACTCCATATTCATTACTATTTTGAATCATGGTGATTATGTGTGAGGCTTTAATGTTGCAATGTGAAATGCAGTGCATCACACAAGGCTATAGAAGACTACTTACAACAGTGCACCGCACGCCATTGATAAGAGTTGATTGAAATATATTACTAAACCATATGATATTGCATTTCCTTCTATAAAAGTACAAAACTAAAATATATCACAGGGAAATTAAAGGGCCATAGGAGGTACGGATAATACCTTCCAACTCCTTCTCCAACTTCCATTCTGAAAAAGCTTCCAATCTTCACAGACGAACCCACTTCTTTGGATAGGTTATCCAGCACCGCCTGCAGAGGGACCCGACCAAACAAAAAATAACAAATGCTCAAATTGTTTTCCTCTCTTGATAGATGCTTCTCATATGATATGTATCCTAAGCATTTCAAACAGAGTGAACCATATATGGAAAGACGTAGATAATTCTACCCAACATGCTTCCAACAAAATAAGTGTCAGGTCTGGTCTGGAATGCTAATAAGAAACTCTCTATCTTGCAAATAATAACTCTTGAATCAAACAAAATGCTTACTAGCACTGCACACAAAACAGATCACCATTATTTGCGTTAAACACTTGTAAAGATATTCAATGAGATCACTCTTAAATTACTGGAAACTAAATTCCCAAACTCCACCCTCTATTGCAAAGAATGGAGGGCAGCAACTAACTTTGGCAAAGAATGTGCGACACGAGAATGCACATCAGTTAGTGGAGGATGGGAAATAAGTAGAGCGTTTTCAGTTGTTACATCAACCTCTAGCACTGAAAACTTGGTATTGATATTGATGTCAGTATATCATTATTAAGAATTTTTGCATCCACCAGAAACATACAATATACCTATTTTAAGACTGGTATGCTAACTTTAATCCAAATTCTTCTCATCAGAGTTTCGTAATAGCTACAAAAATCAATAATCAATCATGACTAAAATTACTATGCATATTGCAGAAAATCTTTGGCAAGATCCCTTGATCTAGGCTATGCAAATCCCTGAAAAACAAAACTAATCAGAATCTTCCAGCATAAGTTTTCTTCGTGTTTCAAAACCTTATTACAAAGCTACAGCAATATTTTCTCCCAACACTTAGCAACAATAGTACCACACTGCAAACAACTTGAATTATAGAAATCACCATTTAATCCCCTAATGCCATACTTTGACTATGAATGAGAGATACCTGCAGCTAAAATGCAAATGACTAGGCCAACATACAAAGAAAACTCATCATGTGGCTATAAGAAAAGTCTTCATGTGGCTATTTGGCTTTAAAAGTTGGCAGAGGGAAAGTGAGCAGAAGGATAAAACTGAAAGTTTGGGCCTTTGGTAAGACTTTTAAAGTTGAAGGGAGTAAATTGCATAACCCACTAACTTGAAAAGAGTTCTTTACATTTTGGCCAAATGCTTATTACCAGAGTCTAACGGCATCTTTCCCTCATTAATTTATTATATAAGGGAGCAGACTGACTTTTCTGGCCCACCCACATGTGTAGAGAATTTCTTTCTTTCACCAATCAAAATCATTATACTGAACAATAAATTATTGTCATCATAATATTAACCTTTTCACTTATTAAAGAGACTTGATTCAGTGGAACCTTGCATACCTTTACATTCATAGCATCATTTATGATAAACTTCTGCTCCAGAAGCACAACTTCCTCAAAATATTTACGCAAACGTCCTTCTACCATCTTGTCTATGGCAATCTGAGGCTTCCCAGAGGCTTCAGCCTGAAATGTTAAAGGCCTAACCCGATAAAATTTGAACACAGATGTTTTGAAATAGGGTAAAGAAAGTGACATGTCAAAATTTAGAAAGCCAAAAATTGGATAAATATATCACAGATTGCATCAAATACCTAAAGAAGAATGCCATGAGCAGAATTTGCTGAAAACTTTACCTTGAGTTCTGAACACAAAAATTCTAGGCAAACTTGATATTCAAGAAATTTTATTAGATATTCAATTGAAGCTTTAGAATTGAATTGAGTAACAATATTCTACTCAGATTTGTTATAAGCCTCAGTTGAAGTGACAACTGCACCAATTGTTTCTGCTTCTCCTATAAACTAGTTTTTATCATTAACTGAAAGTTATTATACTGTATGAATTGAAGTTCTTGAGTCCTTGCTCCTTTCGCTTCACTAATTAGGAGTTAGGACTATAACCCATTAATTGGCACTCCAACTTGTTAGAAATCTATCTGAGAGAGACATTTAGCACACATGTTTACTTAACTATTTATTATTTGTTCTGCAGATGGGCGACTCAGATTGAAGAATAAAATTTTTGCCCACTCAATCCAAAGAACTATGGACTGATTTGCTCAGCTATTCATCATGGTACAATAACGTTCACTACTGCAATCAATCACTGATTTGCTCACCAAGGAATGTCATTCTGAAATTTTGATTAGACTGAGTGGTCATATTATGTTTAGCAGTGATTATGATAAACTATTCAGGTTATTCCTCCTAAACTTTCTCCATAAATAGGTTGTTGAAGCCGAACAGTATCAATATATGATAGAATCAATAAGGTTTCTGTCATATTCATCATTCCCTCTCTCCCAGAATATAGTTTAGATTTCCCAAGATTTCACTTCTCAACTTAAGTCCAGCTGCTGAAAGCCAAGTTCCACCGATTTTATTAACTCCCTCTGATCCCTATTATAAAGAACCTCCAACAACCTCTCCAGAGAGGTGAGGCGGTTAAGTCATTAAATTTGCTTGAAAATGAAAAATTTCTCAAATTTAATCATCTTTAAAACCATGAATTACATCTTGAAAGGCAAAAAATTGCATCAAACTTTAAATAGGGATCATTTTGAGAAAATGTAACTAATATCCTATTTGGGGACTCATAATAATGACCACTTACTTCTAAAAACTGCCTTATAATAGGGACCGGAGGGGGTGCATATTTTCAGGGGCAAGAGATGTTACCCCAAAAACTGCATGAATATGCTTGCAATGCAGAGCAAGGACATGAAAGATACAAGACTGAATAGAATTAAAGACCATGATGAAAAGGTTCACCAAAAAAAAAAAAAAAAGGGACCATGATGAAAAGAAAACTAAAACCATTGATGACTATTACTACGTCCGGTCCTAATTATAAGAGTTAGTTGACTAATATGAAGAGATTAAGAAAATAAGTTAGTTATTTGTAATGAATATGTGTTGTTTTTTTCTAAAATATCCTTGCTAATCAAACGTATTAGTTAAAACTATTATTGTTAGAAGGACTTTTTTGGGAAAAAATGTATAAATATTAGAGACAAAGTGGATTGGGTCTTATATTTAGGACCAAAATGAAAGTCAAATAAGGTCTTATATTAAGGACCAGAGGTAGTATCATTTATTATCTCAATGTAAATAAATCTTTAGCCGTCCAGCCATAGAGTATTAAGGATTTGATATTCTTGGTTCTGAACCTATTGCCTGCACAAGTGATATGATCATATTAATGATTATTTTTTCATTTTATAAAGAGTTTATGCCTTCTGAGTCATACTGAATAACTTTTATTAGCTCGTAAATAATAGCTGCAAACTCTTTCAGAGTTTATAACATGAGCTTACAAGCTGACTTTACAAGCTTGCCATGAGCTCGCTCAAAACTCACAAGTTAACTCAGATTCACAAGTATGACAACCATGAAAAGGGGACTTATTATTCTAGTGGTCGGTCCACTAGGTCTGAGTTAAAGAGACTTATTAAAACTTTATTTTTGACATGACATGCTTTCTGTGAATTCATACCAATACTTCAGGTGCTTTGGTTTAATTGTTAGAAATTGGAATTAGCTACTAGGTTCAGTTAAATATCACAAAGGAGGAAAGTGAACCAGACCAAAACCAAACTGTAAGGTTCAAGGCACGAAGCACCCACAGCAAATAATAAGCCAGCTCAAATCACCCAAGCCATGTTAACTGATTCGTCTTCCCCTTGAACTGCCTTCCCCCAAACGAAACAAGGACTTCTTGGTGAAGTTAGTATAAGGTCAGCTGCATCGAAGTAATTACAATAAAAGAGACACGAAATTTAAAGTAGGACAGAACAATTCATAGCCGAGCAAGGCTCATTCACATAACCACAAATTTTATAATAATTTGAATGAATAATGGATATTCAGAGTACTGTCTAAACGTAAGAACCCAAGCCCAGGCTTATTTATGCAACAATTATGCTTAATTTAGTCTGAAAGCTTGAGGATAAATAAAAAATTAACAAATAGATGAAAATATTTATCTAAATTTGTTTCAGCAACTTATTTAATATGTTGAGCATGTACCCAAGTTCTCAAACATAACTCATAGAAATGACAGAGTACCTGAGATTTAAGAATTTCACGCTCATTCTCTAATGCTTCAGAAGAAACAAGTTCCTTTGATAGGAATAATGGTTTTGCTGCCACTACATGCATGGCCAATTCTGATCCTACCCGCTGAATTGCATCCAGTTGAGTTTTAATATCACCTACTTCAAGAGACAAAATTCCAGCAATGCGACCCAAACCTATTGTTAGCAGAAAGCAAGTCAAGATCCTTAGCTTCATAAGATTCTGGGAATTGCAAAGAATTAGCCACTTGAAACAAGATTTTGTAGCAGAAAATAGTAATGGTTAATTTCACGACTATTGTTTCAGTGTATGGGCTGTAGCAGTGTGCTGATAAATGCATAAATAAAACAAAATAACTCAATTAAAGTTAACTCACATGGTTGGGGACTGGTATGGAGGTATGTAGATATAACACCCTGAGATGGTGTTGACATCACAAAGCCTCTTCTAAGTTTTACATTCTCTCCCATTATTGCAGCCACTTCAGTGATTGCACCTTGAACAGTTGTCTCTCCACTGATCTTTGGATGCTCAAGATGCAACACCATGTTCTGGTGAAACCATGACATAAATACAGATCTACAACAAATTCATTTTACTAGAGATGTAGAAAGACATGAAAGAAAACATGTCATCTTACAATAAACTAATTTACTCTTTATAGGGCCAATCAAAATAATTATTTATAGATATATATAGAATAAATGTATAGCAAAACCCACATTAAATTAATTCTTCTCATCATGAAAATCATCCTCACAAAATTTAATATGTATCCAAAATTATTATATACACCATCAGTTATAATCTAGAAATTAATGAACAAAATATATTTCAAATACAAAAGCTTCAAGCTATTTGTTTATAAGCTTCAAAATATAATATTTTAATAAATTTTGACAAGAAAGATTCACAAAGTAATTACTTCTAGCTGAATCAATGATAATCACATCCTATGGTTAATTCTGAAAAGGTTGAAAAGTCTCACATCCGACTCTGGTGTCAATTGATCTCTCTACAGACGCACAAATTCGTGCATGTATGTGCACATTATTCTCAAAATAAGATGTGAATGAGATAGAAGATAAAGACCTAGGAAGAAGTCCTATAAGCATGGGATCAACATTAGAATCACTATTGGCGTAAGCTGAGGAAAATATCAATCAATTTACCTCCAAAGATTCTGGTCCAACTTGAAAGCCACAAGAAGCCCGCTGAGAAGCATTTTCAACCAACAAAGCTTGCTTTGCCAAAGACAATGCCTACAAAGATGACAAGATTGCAAAATTACAAGCAAATACAGGAAGAACTCTATAATGGGGAATAGAAAGAATATACTACCTCTGATCTTTAATATAAAAGCTAATTTGACTTTTAAATTGGTCCTCAATATAAAACCCCAATCTATTTTTTCTCTCATATTTATCCATTTTTCCCAAAGTAATTCTTGCAGTAGTTGTATATGTTAAATGTTTCATCAAATAACACTTAATTAGCAAGAGTATTTTAGGGAAGATAACGTCGATTTATTACAAATAACTAATTTAACTAATTTACTCAAATTAGTTAACTAACTCTTATATTAATGAATGAAGGTAATACAAGAGAAGAGCTCATAGCGAGTTTGTTCACTATTCATATATTTGAACACAAATAGGACATAGCTTAACTAAACAAGAACATCAGGCCAAAAAAAACTAACCAAGAACTGAAAGATCTCGTTTCTAGCAACAAAGTCAGTTTCGCAGTTAAGTTCAATAACAGCAGTCTTGTTCTCATTTTGGGCCAGGGCAAGCAAACCTTCTGCAGCAGTTCGAGAGGACTTTTTTGAAGCGAGAACCTTTCCCCTCTTCCTCAGTTCCTTCTGAGCCAGTTCTGCATTTTCAAGTTGTCAATTTTCAATTTTACAAGCTACATCCAATAATCTTTGGCTCAATACGATAAATGATCTTCGACTCCCACTTGGAGCCAAAAATAAATCAAAATTTCAAGCCATGAAACTTGGCAACGACTCATTAATAAGAGCGAAAAGCAGCACAAATAATATGTAAAGGTCTGAGGGGGAGTCCATTACCGATGTCCCAATTGGAATCAACTAGAGCTGCTTTAACGTCTTTGATAGGAGCACTTGTTCTTTCTCTCAGTTGCTTTATAAGATTCGTTTGGTCTGAAGCAGCGATGCTGAACCTTCTGAGAAAAATTCCTATACCCAATTGCGAATTGGCGTCGCCAGAAATAAATGATGTTTCAGACGAAGCTCTTTTGCAGGTCGAAGTAGTAAAATGCCGCCCATAACCACTACTGTTAACCAGTGAAAGCTTTATACAAAGCCGTCTTGCACCTCCAGAGAAAGCCATAACAACAGACAACCAATAATCTTCAACCTAAAGAATCATTACTTTGTTATTAAAACCTAAAAAAAGTTGAACATGAAAATGTTCAAATAAAAGCAACTCCATTCTGACACTTTTATCTTCGTCTCTCGGGAGATGAACAGGAGAATAATCGGATGAAAAGTAACCGTAATGAAGCTCAAATCAGAAGCTACAAACTTACAGAGCTGAGCTGAAGCTGCTTCAATGGAGTAGGCGAAGGCCGTAAGAGAAGACCCGAATTTCGAAGCAAGATTTGTGAGCTCGCAATGAAAGATACCGGAAAGGGGTTTAGCATGACCCGACCCGCGCGCGAGGTTTAAGGGTAAATGTCTCTTTTTTTCTTTTTCTTTTTTTAAGTAGGGTAAATGTTTCTACTAATATGAAAAAGGGTTTCCTTTCTTAAAAACTTCAAATTAATAAGACGTTCCGAGAAACTTGAGTGTGAGAGGCTCTATACGTGAAATTATCAAGTTGTCCTTAGATTAAAAAACGACTATAGAAGGATTTGATCTCTTTATCCCTTACCCTTTTGTTGCAAGCTCTCCTCATAATATTGCCTCCAGCGTTCTTTTGCCACCACCGTTGACCTCCTTCTCCTTATTCGCGATCCTTATCTCTTTCTTTGTCTTTGCCAATCGTCTCTGCACTATACCCTCTCCTTTTCCTTCAAATATCCACTAGATCTATATAACCTTTCCGACTTCAACCAAGCATTCTTTTTCAACACCAAAAGCTCCAGTCCCATTCCATCACTGTTCAAGATGCCTCACTATTGTCTCTCACCTCCGCGCGCTCTGCTTCCTACTCTTGCTTCCCATTTCATTGCTTGCCTCCCTCACGGTCCTGCCTTTTGCCGCTTGGTTTTGTCCTAATGTGAAGATCTTTTAGTAGTGATGAACGAAAATCTGATGAAAGTTTAGTTTGTGGATATGTTTTTTCCGCATATTTAATCTTACCCTATTCCACAAGGAAAAAGCCAGGTTAAGTTCTTCAGTAGTGTAGGTCTGGAACATCAGGTAATTTTAGAGGATACTGATGGGCTAAATCTTTTGCTGATTATTATATACTACTTCCGATCTTTAATATAAGACCTCGTTTGATTTTTATTTTGGTCCTAATTATAAGACCTCAATTTACGTTGTCTCTCATATTTATGTATTTTTTTCCCAAAGTAGTCTCTTTAATAATAATAGTTCTAACCAATAAAATTGATTAGTAATAATATTTTAGGAAAAATAATACCTATTTATTATAAATAACTAATTTAATTTACTTTCTTAATCTCCTTAAATTAGTCAACTGGCTCTTATAATTAGGAACGGAGGTAGTATTTGTTAGTCAGAGTTTACATTCGCCTTCCACTATTGTATTTTGGTTTTGAGTTGTAAGTTGTTGTGTTTAATAAAAAATGATGGGTTAAGCTTCGAAATTGTGAATTCTAATGTTACTTTGCATTAGGGTGTAGAATCAGAACATTTCATATAGAAATAGTTTCATCTACTTTAGTTATAATATGTAAAATCGACCCAAGTGAATGTTTGGAGACCCAAAGAGGATAATTTGTGGGGCTGCACCCACCAGTGGCGAATTGTAATTACAAAAAGTTTTGGGGAAAAAGGGTAATTTTGAAAAATATATCCCAAATTTTATAGAATTTTCAGAAAATAAAAATGAGGTGGAGAGTCCCTTTTGAGGATTAAAAAAGATACCCCTAAAATTAATTTTTAATTAATTTTTTTGGATTTATGGACTTAGAGGGATATTTATTTAGATTTAATTATTTAGAATATTAGAAGATCTCCAAAAATTTAGAAAAATGTGGAATAATTATTTTAGAGTGGGATTCAACTTATAAAATTGATTTGGCGATCAAGATATGAGGCATTTATATTTAGAAATAATTATTGTGGAATTTCACCTAAGGTGGGCTTCTTCTTGAAAAATTAAGGGGAAAAAAATATGTGGGCGAAGTTTGGGCTTGAAAATTTTTGTGGACTAATCTGACATGGAGGAGAATATTTTGGACTCCATGAGCAAAATTGGAAATACAGATCTGGACCAAAAAGAGTTTTTGGAAAAAGTTGTGAAAATAAACTATGAACAAAAAACCAGACCAGTTATTAAACCAGTTAAGAAAGTGAGTTAAAGATTAGTGAGTCAAATCGGGGTTAGACCGGCGTTAATAATAGCAATTTAATAAATAAAATTTAGATATATATAATTAATTGATAAATAAAACTATGATGGGACGGTGATGGACTTCAGGTCTACAAGACTATGACACATTTTCTCATAGTCTCTAGTATTATTAATGCCTTTTCTCTTTCTAATTTTTAATTTAAATCTTTTACCCTCACATGTTCTTCTATTGTATTTCAGTCTGCTCTTTCTCCTCTCTCTCTCTCTCTTAATTTTCCTCGCAGAGCTTTAACAACAAATTAGTCCCATGGTGAAGCCTTGAATCATCTTCTTATCCTTCTTCCATGCTTTTTAATTTCCACACTAAAATGCTTCTTCACTTATTTTTTAGCATATTCAGGAGTTCTCTCTCATAGTAAGGTTTGTTTGGCATTTCTCTCTCTATTTTTTTCTCTTCCTCTCCCTTCTTCTTCTATTCTCCGTAAACCTTCTTCTCCTTTTCCACTTTGTTCATTTTTAGGAGGCAAAAAATTTAAACCGAGTAACCCAACCTAACCGGTGGTTACCTGATTTAACACCAGTTTTTACTGGTTGAACTGATTTGTCACCAGTTCATTTCATCTCTATTCAACAAGCAATCCTAACTAGACTGGAGATCAATTCTCTGATTTTGTGGTTGAATTGGCCAATCTGATCTGGTTTCTTTTACCTTGAAAATAAGTGACTAAATGTGACAAGACACAAACCTGATGTTGATCAAGATCTATCCCCTCTTATGAAGCACTAATTCCCTATTATGTCAGCCATTTAATGAACCTCCCATACCTTATTGAGTGATGATGTGAAGGTTTTAGGTCATGAAAAGAGGGAAATAACAATATAAGAGCCAAAATTGTGGGCTATATGACAAGTCGCATATTATATGCATATGGGAGATTTAAATCTTAAACTTGTTCCCTCTTTTTCCTCTCCAAAATGGCATTACTCATTAGCTAAGATTGGAGGAATAACTCTTCAAGACCATGTATTTGATGAAGTGACACAAAATCAAGTTTTGATGGGATTTCCTTCACGTGGCATCACCAAAATCAACTTAAAGTCAAACTAAATATTCTTTTTCCATTATCCTACCTTACCTTAATCTTAAGCTTTTTAGGAGCATTTTAGGAGAACTTCTTGGCTTGACACATCATCATGATAATTTTAGGCAAGTTTAAGGATTTGTGTAAGCTTACCTATTACAAATACCTCTCTTCCTCCTAACCTTGTGGCATTTTCAGCCAAGGGTGAATGAGAAAATGGGAAACTAAAATTTGAAGAGAGAAAAAGGCAAGGTGCAAGATGTCACATCCTGTTAATTTTAACTCTAAAAATAGAGAATATAAAATAGACCAAGGGTCAGGCAGTATAGTAGACAAATAGACGTAACAACTTTTGAACTGAAATTAAACAAGGACTGAACTGTTATTTTCAAAATATCCAGTCAAGACAGGGCAGCATGGGAAATTAAGCCTAAAATTCTAAAAAAATTCCTGAAAAATCATAGAAAATAGAATAGAGGTTCTAGAATAGTATTTGAGATTTTGAAAATGTTAAAAGAATAAAAATAAATTAATACGTAATTTTCTGTATTTTAGGATTTTTTTGGTTAAACAATGTAAAGGTAGCCAAAATTAATTATTTAAAATAGCTAGAGGCCTCCATGATTTTGAAAAAATATGAAAAAATTATTTGAAGGGCTATTATAGATTATAAAATTATTCCCAACCTCAGAAAGTGAAGAGGTTAATTTTAAGATATTTTAAAGCTGAATTCTTGTCGGTAAAACACCAATTTCAGGAAAAATCTGAATATAAAAAAATTGTAGGAAAAGTTTAAATCTAAGAAAAATCATGGAACATCCCTATACTAAAAGGAAGGTTTTGGTGCAGAGAGACAAATTTTTGGAAGCACTGGATCATACAGGATTCAGGAAAAATTCATCCGATATAGGACACTTGAACAGGGGAATGTTAATAATCTATGGGGAGGCAATTTCTCCCCTTTTTTTGTTTGCTATATGGTGCCATTTTGGTATATAGGACATGGAGGAAATTGTGTGTTTTGTTGTTGAAAGAGAGATTAAAATAATAAGTTTTAACATATCATTTAAATCATAACCATACATTTGGTAAGACACTTGGCAAAATCAAGTTGAGGCAGATTTTTGGAGTGACGAATAAGCAAGGGAATTAGTAGTTTTTCATGGGCAAAAGAGAGAAAGTAGGGGTCAAAAATTTGTCTATAAATACCCCCTCAAGATACACAATCCAACCATTTTGGGAGACTTAATGGGGGAAGGTTTTGTCACCAAGATTGCTAAAAAGCAAGAGGAAGAAAGCAAGTTCAAGAATAAGAAACCTTAAGAAAATTCAAGAGCTCTGTCAAGGTAAGCCTAAGCTTCAATTAGGGAAGTTATTTGGCATAGTTAGAACAAGTTTTGGATGGGTTTTGATGACAAACTCCCCTTGGTATGCTGCTGCAAAATTTTGAAATTATTGGAGAAGGTTGAATGGATTGGAAAGAGTAGGAAAATTGATCTCTATGTTTGATTCTTAAAGAAAAATCCAACTCCCTAACACTAGAGCATGTTTCGGCCAAGGCTGAAAATTAGGATTAGGATTTGATTTGAGTTGATTTGATACCTCCATTGTGTTTAGAATGTGATTTTGTGTAGGGAAACACCAAGGAAAAGTATTTGGAAGAATTGAAATTGAAAATACAATTTTGAACCCCTAAACCTTATAACTTTCGGCCAAGCATGGTTTGATAGGGAGGAGATGGATTTTGTTAACACTAAATGAATATATGAATTCTACATGCAAAATTGTGTAAGAATGACCTAAGAAAATTAGTAAAAACAAAGAGGAAGCAATGGCTCAAAAAACTAAAGAAAATGGGTTAAAGTGTATGAATTAATATTTTATATTGATTTAAGTGGTAATGTGAAGTATCCTTATGCTTAATTGATAGGCATTAGACAAGGATATAAAGAGAATCAAGAGGAAGAATGAGACACCAAAAATCCAAGCTTGAGGGAAGGTAGCATAGAACTTACAATTTGATGTTATCTTGTATGG